AAACATATCCTGAATGACTTTCTTTTTCAGATAATTCACCAATTTAGATTTTACGCAGAAAATGAAATTGAAACTTAAATGTAATGTCTTTTCTTCCTTAGTCAAAATACTGTGGGATCTAGCTATAAATGTATTTGTTATTGAACATGATTGTATGTGAGGCAAACCAATTTTCAAAGGTAATTTGAATGGCTTACAGAATTACTAGTAGTAATTGCCATTTATGTATATTAAGACTATAAAGTAGCTTTATTTCTATTTATTTGATATTCACAACAACCTTGTAGGTAAAACAGGTATTATCAATTGTGTTTTTACTGAGGATGAATCTGAGATCAGAGAGGCTAAGAGTTTTGTATGTGTTCTTTTCAAGGAAGAAGCTGATCAAGGGTTGGAACCCAGGTTTCTCTATCTAAATCTATTGTTTTTTACTGCATCAAGCAGCCACTTTCTTCAGTTTTGGTAAAAATGGAATTTTCTTTAAACCATTTATGGCACAACTAGTTGAGGGCTTGCTGATTTATGAAGTTCCAACTGAAATATTATTAGGACATGCTCATGACCTCGTAGTTTACCCTTCTGCCCAAATATATAGGAAAGTTTATGAACCTTTGTGATTAGCATTTTCTTTATTTAGTCATCATGTTCATTTCTGTTTATTTATGGGCTTCAGAAGGGTATTTAATTTCAGGAATTGGAATTCTTTATAGTACAACTGAAGGAGCTTCTGAAACTTCTTACTAAAATAATTCTGACGCCATTTTTTAGTATGTTAGTTGGGGACAACTTCAAGATCTGTTTATTAGGGCTACCCTGTAGGAAAAAAAGGAATTGTAAGTTTGTAGATCATTTGTGCAGCCACCAATTAGTAGAGTGTTTTGCAGTTGCAGTGATTTTTTTTTCTTTTACTTTTCTTGAAATCCAGGGACAGATTGGATACAGTGATTTTTAAGAAAAACTATAGCAGGGACTCCCAGGACCTTTTTACGCTGTTAAAAAAAAATTACTGAAGATCCTAAAGAGTTTTTATGTGGGTTGTATCTATTAGAAATTAAAACTGAGAAAGTTGAAAAGCATTTAATAATTTTAGAAATATATGGATTTCTACATGTTTAATTTCCTTGATTCTGAGAAGACCACAGTATTACTTTGGTTTATGTAGGCATTTAAGCCATTAGTATTTTGTAGTTTTTGCCCAACACTAATTTTGAATATTGATGGTTGTTGTTGGCACTCTGAAAATCAAGCTCTTTTGGCCTGAGATTTAATGTTTCCTAAGTGTATTAATACCTGAAAATTTTATTGTAAAACATTAGAACACAGGATAGAAATAACTTTTTCTAAGACTAACATTTATTAGGTTTCAAAAAGAGGGCAGTGTAACTCTCTGTGATGAGAATCTCTCCACCTTGGTTTTGGTTAAGTCAGCAGAAGTACTAGCATACACCAGCTTTAGTTAGTTATATATGTGCCAAATAAGAGATTTGGCTGTACAAAACTGGGGAAAAAATAGCGTATCAGGAAGGTTCCATAGGCTGGGCGCAGTGGCTCATGCCTGTAATCCCAGCACTTTGGGAGGCCAAGGCCGGTGGATCACCTGAGGTCAGGAGTTCGAGACCAGCCTGACCAACATAGTGAAACTTTGTCTCTACTAAATACAAAAAAAATCAGGCGGGTGTGGTGGCAGGCACCAGTAATCCCAGCTACTTGGGAGGGTGAGGCAGAATAATTGCTTGAACCTGGGAGGCGGAGGTTGCATTGAGCCAAGATTGCGTCGTGGCACTCTAGCCCAGGCAACAGAGCGAGACTTCAACTAAAAAAACAAAATAAAAGACAAAAAAAAAAAAAGGAAAGTTTTATGATTTTTTTACACCTATTCAAATTATATTATTTTCCCAGAAGTTTCCTTTATTTCATATCTACTAGATTTCATTTCAGAGCTAACCTATATCATTAACCTATTTCTACTGCTGCATAAAATATTACGTTGGTGCAAAAGTAATTGAGGTTTTGGCTATGTATACATATATATAATTTTTTTTAGTGACCAAATCCGCGATTACTTACTTTTCCACCAACTAAAAATAGTTGCAAACATTTATGAAGGGCCTACTGTGTTCCAGCCACTGTTCTAAGTGCTTTGTGTGTTTTAATTCATTTAACCCAATAACCCTGTGAACTAGCTACCTTACCTTCTTTTTATAGGTGAGGAAACTGAGGCACAGAGGGGCTAAGTAACTCACCCAAGGTTTCTCAGCCATGGAGTTAGAATTCAGTCAGGCAGTCTGGTTTCAGAGACTATGCTTTTCAACCACTATACTGTATTGCCTCAACTAAGTAAACCTACCAAACTAACATTACCAGTTATAAAAAAGAGATAATAGTGATACTTATTAAATTAAGACAGTTATTTAAACTGCATATTCACATTTTCCCTAAGAATTACAAAAATTGTATATCAAGCTTTAAAATTATGTTTATGGGGAAAATTTCAACAACACATAAAATTCCTAAAATATTTTACCTACTTGTATTTCATTTTAAAAATAGATTTTATTTTTTAGAACAGTTTTAGATTACAGAAAAATTGAGATAATAATACAAAGTTCCCATATAGTCCATACACTGTATTAACATCTTACATCTCTTAGAGTTATAGAGCCAGTGTTTGATAACCAGTAATAATGATGCATTATTATTAACTAGTGTCTATATTCAGATTTCCATAGATTTCCTCTAATACTCTTTATTATCTTCCAGGATCCTATCATATTACATTTAATTGTTTCTCCTTAGGTCTTCCTTGGCTGTAAGCTTCTCAAACTTTCCTCATTTTTATTTTACAGAATACTGATTAGGTGTTCTGTAGGATGGCCCTTGATTAGAATTTGCCTGACATTTTTCTCCTCATTAGACCGGGGTTATGGGATATTGGGAGGAAGATTACAGATGTAAAGTGTTGTTTTCATCACTTTATATCAAGGATATTTACCTTGAACATGATTTGTCACTGTTGATGTTGACCTTGGTCACCTGTCTTCAGTAGTGTTTGTCAAGTTTCTCCACTGTCAAGTTACTCTTTTTGTCCTCTTTTCCATACTACACTCTTTGGAAGAAGTTAGTCCACATAGGTCATATGTAAGAGAGTTATGTTTCACCTTCTTGAGAGCAAAGTATTTGCACACATTTTTTACAGTTCTTTTACACTAGAGATTTGTTTCTTTTCCCCTGTTTACTAATGTATTCAATCATTTATGTCAGTATGGACTCATGAACATTTGTTATATACTTTAGGTTATAATCCAATATTACTTTATTTGTTGCTCACATAGTTCCAGCTTTGGCTATTGGAAACTTTCAATTGGTTCCTGTGTACCTTTGACATGCCCTCCTCACTGTAGGGTGTTTTTTGTTGTTCGTTTTAGTTTTTTTTTTTTTAAAGTTCTTCCTTCCTTTCTGGCATTACAAGATGCTTGTTACTTATCTTGAACATTTCTACCCCGGTCCTAGAATCAGCTGTTTCTCTAAGGAGACCTGGTTGCTTTCATTGGAGAATAGTATTAGAAACCAAGATCTGGGTGGTAGGTGTGCTTGTTGCTACTGTCATTTCTTTTAGGCCCTCTCAACTAACAAAGAAATATATATATATATATTTTTACATATAGATATTTATATAGACATACATATTTTATGTGTACATTTTCATGAATATATTTATACATGCATACATATGTGCACATACATTTGTATGTATATATGTACATATGTGTATATATGTTTAAATATATACACACAAATATTTCTATATGTAGTCATACAGAAATGTGTATAAAAGATATAAATATGTATAAAAATATATACTTATATAAATAATATAGATGACTTGATACAGAAATATGTGTATATACATACATGGGTCATAATGAGTATGACCCATCACAGTATTCAGTATTACATTGAATGAAATAATATCCTTTTGTTTTTAATAGTGCCTAGCACATAGTAAGTGCTTAATAGATATTAACTCTTATTAAAAACCAATGCTGTGTAAGTTTACAGAAAGGAAAATTATATAAGAGTACCGTACTTAAAGTAGTTGTCTTGTCAGACTTTTGAGGATTACTTCAGGGGTTAAAGGTAGGGTGATTATACTTTCTGATTTACTTGGGATGAAGATCGTAGAATGTGATTGTTGTGCTAGCATGACTGTGAGTAGCATCCCCCTTTCCACCAGCAAAAGTATTTTGGTTTGAATGATAAATTATATAGTCATCTTATTTAAGGGGTAATAAAACTGCATCTCTCTGACCTAGAATGATGTAAATGAGTGGAGTAGGCTGGGAGAAAATGAATGGGCACTGAGAAGAAACTCATCTATCTAAGAGAGCAGCACTGCTCTGTTCCAGCTACTGTGGCCGAGGAGGAATGTGGCCCTGAGTGTAAAAGATTTTGATTTTTCAGGAGTAGGCAAAATCTAGAATTTGTGTAATGATCCCTCAATTTTTCATCATTGGCAACTAATTCAGTTTTTCTAAAAAGCACAAAAACTCATTAAAGGTCTGTACATTTTATCATAGGTAAATTATATCATAATTTTAAAAATGTGTAGGTTAGATGATGATCTTTATATGCCTGAGTTACTGGATATGTTAAATAAATATATGATAGTAAAAGTATAAGACAAGGAAAACTTACCTTATAAAGTTGTCTCAAGGGAAGTCTGGAGCACATATTAAAACTGAGAAAACTGAAAAATGTAGTACTTAAATTGACCATAACTGTGAGAGCCTTTGAAATCCTTAATGAATTAAAATGACTAAGGATTTTCTGAAGGCTTTTTAAATTGTATGTGATTGCAACAGTGAAGATAGAAATGAACGTATAGTAGGCAAAAATTGTGTAACCAAGGCTTCTACTTGAAATGTGCTTCAGGTGATGTTTTGTAGTTTAGATTTGTGGAACTTTGCTCTGGAAATAAATTTTTTTTTTTCTTTTTAAAGACTGTTTTAAAGAAGTTATTCATATACGTCTAGAGGAACTGCTCCGTGTTTTAAAGTCTATAATGAATAAACATCAGAACCTCAATTCTGTTGATCTTCAAAATGCTGCAGAAATGCTCACTGCAAAAGTGAAAGGTAAGGAAGATATAGTCAAAGTGGGTTGCTGTGGGCAAAAAGGAGCCAAGTGATATATTTTAGTTTATAATGAATATATAGCCAATTCCTCTCTTTGCATTTGTATGATGTATGTCAATAAGGAGTTATATATACTTTGATATTGAAATATTCCCACTAAGTCACACCTAAAGCTTTCTTCTTTTTAAAAACTAACTTTATTTAGCAGCAAATACTTTAAAAAGACTAACTTAAACCGAACAATTGATGTTTAAAATTTGAGTTTTTTATGAATGAGTGCATGCTCTTTCGAGGTGATTAGTGTACAAGAAGTCTTTGTTATGTGAGGACAATTGGTGTTGGAGTGTGGTAATCTCTAGTGACTACTTAAAAGAGGGAATCAAATGCAGAAAAAGAAGGCTTAATTGGAACCTTATTTTAAAATGTGAAAATGAAATTAAAATTATAAAATAAGTTTATCATATATATGTATGGGTATGTGTGTATCTATAGCATATAGATGCTAAAACTTAGCATGAAGAGTTGGACCATTATCCTCTGATGAAATGACTTGCCACTCAAAATTGTGAAAATTATTCTGGGTTGCGGTATATAAAAGAAAGATTGAGAACGAAGTGAGTATTTGAGAAGAAATGAGACAGGAGGCAGGGAAATTAATTAGGAGATTGTTAGGAATAATGGGCTAGATGAGGGTTGAAGCTGAGGGCTTAAACTGGGTGTGGTAGTGGTCAAATGCGATTTGTTATATAAGAGGGAATGAATGTCAGTTTGACAGAACGACACAGGTTGAATGTTAGTGGTTATGGAGAAGTTCGGTGTTGAAGATGTGGACTTGGGAATTGTTGATGTATAGGTAGTGGAAAAGGATGACATCAAATGAGTATGCAGAGTAAGTAGAGGACTGATGTGAGATCCCAGGGAGAGAGAGAAGATATAGAGGAATTGGAGAAACACCTAACAGGTAGGGAGTTGGACCTACAAGGAGGTGACATGGAATTTTAAAAGTGCAGGGTTTTAAGAAGTTATTATCAGTGTTAAATGCCACCAATAAGGTAAATGGATTCAAAGTAATAAAACTACAAAAAGTGACCTTTAGGTAGCAGTGATGTAGCAGTCAGAGACAGACAAGGTAACAGCAATCCTGTGACCAATTCTGTGACAGAGGTATGCCTAGGCACCATGGGAGCACAGAGTGAGGAACTCACTCTAGGCTGAATGAGGAAAGGAAACTCTCCTTTTGGGGAAAGGGATTGCCTGTCCTGAGTCAAAGGTCAAGTAGGCATTAACTGGACTGGGCTGAGTGGGAATGGGGCTGCGATACAAGAACTCTGGGTGAGAAGAACACGATGAGATTGGTGAACAGGATCATATTCGGAGAGGCTAAAGGGCATGCGTCAACGGATGAAGCAGGAAAAAAAAAAAAAACCTTGTCTACAAAATATAGTTCACATACTTAAGGAAACCACTCCACCCAGCACTTTTTGACACAGATTTATCATGTTTGTGTGGTTTCCTTTTTTCTGTATTTCAAACACTGAAAAAAATGTAGATGATTTTAAATGGGAAACATGAATAGCTTCTTCTGTCCTGACTTTCAAAAATGTGCGTAGTAACCAAATTTGTTTCTAAATAGATTGTTTACAAGTACCATTTAACTTTACTTAGATAGGGAAATTTGCGTCTATAGATAGTAAAATTTCCATGCTTGGAAATAGCAACCTAGTTCAATTGTTGTCAGTAGCTATTGTGTGCGGTCAGGATGTCCTGGGGAAGGAGTGCGCCTGTGTATAGTTGGTGTCCACATTCCAGAAACAAACTTGAAGAGAGTGGTGTCTCAGATACCTTGAAGGTCTTTTTGTCTTTGAGGAAAAGTAATTTTCTGAATATTATTTTCCACTATTACTATCTTTACACTTGGGATTATTGTTACTCTTTTACTTCTGTGCTGGATGACATTTAAAAGGGGAAGATTATTTTGTTGTTGGGAAACTTCCTCTGTTTCAGTAGGACTCCATGAGACTAGAACACTTTAAATAATTGTGTTTTCTTTGTGTTAAATTTGTATGGTTTATAATAAAACTTCTTTCCGTGCCCCAACTCTTATTTTGAGGCCATTTAAAAATATCGTTGATACTCCAATTGAAAAATATTCAGCGACTTGAATAATTGAGGTCAAATCAACTTAATTATTTCATTTAATGGCAATTTAGTTTTCAAAACCTGGAAAGGCAGAGAGTACGTAGAAACCATTTTGAGTATCTGTTCAGTGCCAGCCAGTCTAAGTGCTTTAAAACCTATAAATGTACAGTAGTAGCTATTTCAGAAAGGAAAAGTTTTTGGTACAGAAAGCTGTCTGGAATATGGGGATCCTTTATATTAGTTAAGGTTTCAGTCTTTTTGTTTGTTTAAGAGATGGCATCTCACTCTGTTGCCCAGGCTGTAGTGCAGTAGCATGTTCATAGCTCACTGTAACCTTAAACTCCTGAACGCAAGCAATCCTCTCACCTCAGCATCTCAGTTAGCTGGGACTACAGATGTGAGCTGTCACTCTCCTAGCTGATTTTTAAACTTCTAAAATTTTTCACAGGGACAGGGTCTTGCTATGTTGCCCAGGCTGATCCTGAACTCCTGGCCTCAAGCAATCCTCCCACCTTGGCCTCTAAAATTCTGGGATTACAGGCATGAGCCCCCACACGGGGTTCATCATTGAGTGTTTTTTTTGAGACAGTGTCTCACTCTGTTACACAGGCTGGAGTGCAGTGTCATGATCTCAGCTCACTGCAGCCTCCGCCTCCTGGGTTCAAGCAATTCTCCTGCCTCCGCCTCCCGAGTAGCTGGGATTACAGATATGTGCCATCACACCCGGCTAATTTTTGTATTTTTAGTAGAGATGAGGTTTTACCATGTTGGCCAGGCAAGTCTCGAACTCTTGACCTCAGGTGATCCGCCTGCCCTGGCCATCGAAAGTGCTGGGATTATAGGCATGAGCCACCTCGCCTGGCCCCATCATTTAATTTTAACTCTGTGTATGTTTAAAAAACAGCAGTGACTTAGGTATATGATTAACTTTAAGACCTTAAGTATGAAATGCATTTTTTCAAATCTACCAAACAATAGAAAAAAATACAGAATAACTTCAGAATCAGGGATGTGGAATCGTATTTGTATTACCACAGGTTTGAATGCATGAAGTGTGTCTGCTTCCTCTGTATAAGTGAGAAAAAGGAATCTTTACCCATATTTTTTATTTTAAATGTGGAGTTTACCTTCTAATAACTTTTAAAAGAAAAATCTTTAGTTTTTTTCCCATTCATTCTAGTAGTGATTTGCGTTTCCTGTGTGTCCTCGTGTTTCCAAGCAGGAAATTAAGTCTGACAAAATATTTGCAATATGGTAAGAGAGATACAGCCTGTTTTTAAAGGAGATAAAGGTATCTTCAGAACTCAGTAATTTATTATGTACTATTTGTTTTCATTATTTTCAGTTATTTTGGTCAATCTTATTTCTAATATAAATGAAAGTAACCCTTAATTTAGGTTTTTTATGTTCTGCATTTTACCCTATATTTAAAAATTGGTAAACAAAAAAGAAAAATAAGTCTTAATTATGCCTTCAAGATTGTAGAAGCCTTATACTTCTGTTTTGAAAACTTGATTTTATTAATAGGCAGTTCACGCGGAATGCAAATGGTATAAAAGGGTATTGAATGATGTTTTTTTGTTGCCTTTGACCGTTAGTCACTCATTCCTTTACCTAGATAAGCGACAACTTTTATTGGTCTCTTGTGTGTTTTTTCAGAGATATACATATACAAGCACATACACGGATGTGTTCTCTTTTTTAACCTCCTTTTTACACAGATGGTAGCGTTCTGCTCCTTGTTCATTGTCCTGGTTACCTGCACGGAAAGGGTTTCCTCATTCTTTTGTTACTATTTGTTTTTTCAAAGCTGTATGGTAATCCCTTATATTGATGTACTATAATTTATTTAACCAGTTAACTACTGATGGATGTTTGGATCATTTCCAGTTTTTTTTTCTATTACAAACAATGCTTCAATAGTCATGCAAATTCCTAGATGAATAATTGCTGAATCAGCAAGCATGTGTGTTTATATTTTTTGATATTACCAGATACCCTCAGTATAGGTTCTGCCCTTCTGATAGCAGTGTTGAAGAGGCTGATTTCCTGTACCTTTGCCAACAGACCTGGTTACAAAGCTCTGTTATCCAGTGTGATAGTGAAAAGTGGTATCAGTCTAGGTTTGATTTGCATTTCCCTCATTTTGAGTGCAATTGAATATCTTTTCATTTGTTTCAATACCATGTTTACATCCTTTTATGTTAATTGACCTTTTATCTGTTTTTCTTTTGCTGGTAGGTCTTCTTTTATTATTGATTTATAGAAACTCTGTGTAAGTAAAATTAGCCTTTAGTCTTTGATTAATGTTGAAAATATTTTTTACTTAATTTTTCTCTTTTATTTTTGCATTAACATTTTTCAGTGTTTTTTATGGTTTCTGGGTTTTAAGTATCAGGAAAGACTTCTCTGCTCTGAGATTATAATAGAATTCTTGAATGTTTTTTCTTCTGATGTTTCATGGTTTCATTTGTTGAAGTTAAGTCTTCAGAAACATTGTAAAGTATCTAAGCGTCTGGTAAGTTTTAGCAGGTAATTCATCTTTTCGCCACTAATTTGAGGTGTCATCTTTATCATAAATACACTACATTCTCACATATATCTGTTTCTGGACCTTATTCTGTTTCATTGATTTGTTCAGTTGTATGCCCAGACCATTCTGTTTTTATTGTAGTTTTTGTGACATTTTAATATATGGTAGGGATAACTTGTTTAGAATTTTATTTTTTCCATGAAGATTTTTGACTTGGCTGTTTGGTTCCAAAAAATACCTACTTTTTTTAAATTTATAGATTAAATTAAGGAAAATATACATACTTAGTATTTCTATCCAAGAATGTAATATGTACTTTATTTCTTCA